TTAAAAGTTTACAAAGGAAGACTTACATAGAAGTCTACTCTACATCATACTTTTTTAGAAGTCTTCCTCTGTAAATATTTGCTTACTTTTGTTTAAACAAAATCTTGGGAATACCAGAGAAGACTACATGTAAGTCGTCTAGGATAAGTAGGTTTGTTTTGTATTTGACAAGATTGTGTCAGAAATTTGATTTTTCGTGGACTATATAAGTGGTCTGGTAAAAATTAAAAAACCAATATTTAATTATTATTAGACGACTTACATGTAACTCGTCCGGTAGAAAAAGAAAACTTCAATATTTAATTTTTGTTAGACGACTTCCATGTAAGTTGTCTCAGGTTATTTTTGCAATTGAAAAATAAAACTGAACTATTTAATATTATCCAGACGACTTACATGTAAGTCTTCCTGTAGACGACTTACACGGAAGTCATCCAAGATGAACAAGGTTTGAACAGAATCTTGGAATAAAATCTTAGACGACTTTTGTATAAGTCGTCTCGTGGAAGACTTCCGTGTAAGTCGTCTAGAAAAAAATAAATATTTAAGTTTTATTTTTAAATTGCAAAACTAACCCGATATGAATTACATGAAAGTCGTCTAGCTATAATTAAATATTGATTTTTTAATTTTTTACCGGACGACTTACATGTGAGTCGTCCATAAAAAGTCAATTTTCTGACACAGTCTGGTCAAATGCAAAACTAACCTACTTATCCTAGTCGACTTACATGTAAGTCTTCTCTGGTATTCTCGAGATTTTTTTTAACAAAGAAAACTGGACGACTTCCATAGAAGTCTTCTCTAAAAACACATATAAAAGTCAATTGCAAAAGTAACTTATGTATTGACCAGTCGACTTACGCGGAAGTCTTCTAGCCGAACAGATATGGAATTTTTTTTTAATTTCATAACTTAAATTACCGAAATAACTTCCTTAGCACACGAAAGTTTTCTTCAAGCACCCAGAAACTCAAACAAAAGTGACCCACCAAAAATGTAAGTTTGAATGGTTCTATGAACCATAAAAAATTTAGAATCAAAATCTTAGGTTTCTTTCGATGAATATAAAGAGAAAATGAAAGAAAAGTTGTTTTAGTTCATAAGAAGTAAGATAGAAGGTTTGTAAATCAATTTTAGGCGCATTAGGATTTTCAAATTGGTTGTTCATGGTTAATAGGGCAAATGAAAGTTAAAAAAAAAAACATAGGTTAGTTTTGTATTTGACTTCGAGTTTTAGGTTACTTTTGAAAGAAATCTATCTTTTAGAGTATAAGTTACTATATATGTTGATGAAGCCTTGAAGCCTCGTATACTATAATGAATACTTTAGATGTGGTGAATTGTTGTAGAAAATGTTTCCTCGCTATATATAACATTATCGGGAACTCACATTATCATAATAAGCATTTTATAAACTATGTTTTATACTACATGTTTTTCTGATCCATCACAACTTGATGTTAGTGTATGAATTAGGTAATGATATTTATACGCAATACCATATTAGGATGCAATCTAGGTTTGAAAATTTGAGAAATTTTATATTCAAATTAACATGATAATGTATTATGTATTGTTAATGTTCTAATGTGGTCAACTGGTAATGAAGTGAAATGGGTCTTGGGTCATGAACCATGTCAGACGTAATTTGTTCGTAAGGTGACTGATTGTGTTTGTAATATATAAATTAATTGTATATTTTTGGACATAGCCTTGTGGACTAAATATTAGTTATGAAAATACCCTTAACAAAATGTTACATACAGAACTAAATCTCAGGGACACAAATTGTAATATACTATGTAATTATAAAGTTAGATTAAAAAAAATTGTTATGTTTTTAATAGTATTTATATTTTCTTAAAAGACACAGTATGATTTTACTATATTGCAATCTTAGAAAAAGGAATATATTTTAATTATTTATTTTTAAAATAATTTAATATTTAGTTAAATTTCTTGAAATTAGTGAGACCCTTAGGTTTCATTAATATAAAAATACATGATAGTTTAATTAAAAATTATGATTTTCTAAGGATGGTCCAAATTTAAAATTTTGACAAAAAAGAATTAATGACTCCTATTTATATTTCTTAAAATGATATAGTAAGATATTGTTAGACTGGGATCTTAGAAAATATGTATGAATATAGTAAGATATTGTTAGACTGAGATCTTAGAAAAATATGTATGACTATCTTCTTACATTTTATTTTTTAAAATATTTAACTATGTAGATGAATTAGTTGAAACTAATGAGATCCTTAGGTTCCATTATAAAGCAAATACATGATAGTTTAATTAAAATCTAGAACTTGACCTGCTAGGACGAGCATGTGTTTGTTTTAAACTGTCTTATAAGTAAATATTATTTCATAATTAATGATATATATTTTAGCATTTGCCATATAGTGTGAATATGATAATTTAATTTATTATTTAAATTGTCATTTGTATCGCATCTTTCTAATAATATACTTATTTTATTAGTTTGGAGCTGGAGTTTTAGTTTGGAGGAAAAATTACATTTTTGAATATTATTTGAATCAGTAGTTTATATACAAATAAATTTGTTACTTGTATCTATAATTAAAACTAAAACTATTAGCATTGCATAATTAAATAGTTATGTAGAAATTGTATTTATTTGGTTTAATATTTAAATTAATCATGTACACTAATAATTAGTTTTTAATAGGATTAGTTACTTTGGTTTATAATCTGAAAATGATAAATGATCGAAAATGTAATAAAAGTTTGGGCTTAGATAAATATGTAAATTCACTCAAAAACTCGCATTTTAGATAGATGTATATAATTATCTATATATTGGAAGATTTTTCAAACATTATGTTGAGGAATATTAGAATTTTCTAACACGTTTGAATATATTCTTTGCATGTAGACAAAATATTCTGTTTGTGTAAATTTTTTTTATGATTTATGTGTTTTTTTATAGGTTATTTTGAATATACTTGATATATATTATTAAATTTTGACAAAGATGTCAACTTATCTTTTTGGATCTGTTTTATATCATTCATATATTTTTCTATATATAATTTTTAATACGTTAAATGTTGATAGATAGTTTTAGGAAATATTGTTAAAAATATCAAAAATTTCAATTTTAAAATGTTTGCAGATAGTTGGTATTAATTAATTAGAAAAGATTAAGGTGGGTTATATAATTGTTTTAAATGATGAAAAACAATGCTAAAATCTAACAAATAGTAAGAATCGTAATGGTAGAATCTGTAATTTCTAACTAACTTGAAGAAAGAATCATTTCTTTTTGTAATTAAGTTTTAATAAGACAAAATATGACTTTCTAAAGAATGGTTCAACAAAATCACAGATAAGAAAATTAATGACTTATGTTTTAATAGATAAGATTTTTATGTGTATACTATTTGTAATGTATAGCTTCTATAAAGTGTAAAACAATTAAAATGACAGGTATTATTGTATAAGTCTCACAAATCTTCTCCACATATACTAGTTATACTTATAGTTTGATCCTTTTCAGCTATAATCCAAGAATATTATTATATAATCTATTAACAGTGAAACTGAATTATTAATTTAAATTTAATTATATTAACTACATAAACAATTTTCAGCTATAATTTTAATTATTTTGTATCTATATAAGTTAAATAAAGTTAAATTAATAAAATAAAATAAAATAATAATAAGTTTTTTCAAATTTTGATTTACTGTATAAAAAATTAGTGGTAATTTTTGTCATTTCGTTTTATTGTTTGCCTTATAATTTTTCCTAACAAAACGATTTTTTAATATATTGTAATCGCGTTTAAATTTGAATAATTTAAAAATAAAAAATTCATTGATCGCTTATTTGTATTGTTTTATGATATATGACTTTTTCAAAAATATTAACTCTCCACAAAAAATTTGAATTTGAATTATATTATATTAGCTTTGTATTTATTACACGCTTACATTTATTTTGAAAGTATAGATATTTATGAAATCTTTAAGTTTTTATATTAAGTTGATGTAAAATAATTCTTATATTTACTGTTATATTATTTTAAAATTTTCAACTTAATAGGCATGCATATGATTTACATATATGGTATATACATAACTATTATTATTTCAGTTTAGGAATCTGACCAAAAAATTAAAGCTTTATCATTAAGATTTGTTATAATAAGAGAATATCATATTTTTTTCTGAGATATGGTCATGATAAATAATTTATGGGGAATATTAAAAACTGGATAAGGGTGATTGGTTGGGTTGTAAGTAATGAATTTAGATTTAATTTCTATCTACAACCATTTAAATCACCAATCATGCTTTAAGTAGATTTTTAAAGCTAAAGTCAAAAAATTGGAAATGTGGTTGTAGGAACCCTATTTTCTAAAGCAAAAAATTATTGCTGTAGGATTGTTGTAGGAATATCTTTCCTCTTTTATTTTTTTTTTCATTTAATTTCTACAGCTACATTAGATACAACTACATCAAAAACATCTACAGTCTAAATTCTACAGTAAAATTTTTAAATCTACAGTTCAACCAATCACCCCCAATATCATGTTTTAAATCTACTTAGTCCTTGCTTTATCATTAAGATTTCGCATGTCATAATAAAAGAATATCATATTGTTTCTGAGAATGAATATCATACTTAGTCCTTGCTTTATCATTAATATTTTTCACTAAGTCAAGGTCATATTGTTTCTGAGAATGAATATGATGATGATAAATGTTTAATGGGATAATATTAAAAACTGGATAACAGTAATCCTGTTCTAGATTTACTTAGTCCTTATTCTTTCATTTGTATATATCAGTGTCATAAATGTCATAAAGTTGATATTTCATGAAAAAAATTACTATCAAAGAAATCCACCAAGATGTGAGGCAATGACATGTATAACAAAAGAGAGCATAAATAGAGAAGCAAATCTTTTCAAAACACAAAACAACACAAGAAAAAAAATCATCAAAAGAATACAAAAGAAATGACAAAACTTTTGTTCGGTATTTTGGTTGGTGCAGGCGGAATATGGAAGTTGATGGGCACTATTAGTGGCGGATCTACTGTAAGCGAGGAAACTAGTGGTATAGGCATGGGATGGATTATGATAATATGCATAGTAATTATGGGGTGCATGATCTTGAGCACCAACGCTGAACAAATTAAACGTAAAGCCGAAGAACAAGTTCCTGTGTTTGTAATGGCAGTAACCATCTTATTTCTTGTTTACATCCTTTACCTTAAAGGTACCTTTTAGTTTGATTTTGTCGTGCCATCAGAAGTGTTATTATGGTAATCAAAATATCGTTCATAGTTATGTCTTCCAATAAATTCAAAATAAAAATCTACTTGAAAACCTTAAAACTGAAAATTTCAAATAAAAAAAAAGTTAACCTCCTATTTGAGTGATTAAAACACTAGTTATCGAAGAGGAGAGATAGGCGCACTAGCTTTGGCGTAACCAACCCAAGCAACAACGCCAATGGCTAGTATCACCCATCCCATAACATCATACTTCAACTCACTGTTTTTCACTACCTGTTTAAAGAAACACACATGATCATCAGATCAAGAGATTCAAACAACAAATACTGCAATTAAATATGATGATGAGAATGAACATAATAAGAGAAGAACCTTTGAGCTTAAGGCTGCTGATGGACCGGCGCCACCTAGTGGCTGTTGGCCAAAGCCTTGTCTGTGAACCTCTGCGTGCAGTAGAGGAGTCTGTGCTTAGCACAAAAGAAAAATAAATTTGGTTAAAGAGCAAAACTCTGAGATCGGGTTTAGAGGCAAAATGTAAATCCAAAAATAATGAACTAAGCTGGTTAACTGTTCTGATCTACAGTACCTTGGCTGTCATTTCAAGTGATTTCTGGTAGGTTTCACTTTCCGGATGCTGCAAAGATGCACAACAAGTATTCAAAACCACAACAACAAAAAAAGAAACAGTATTATTAATCATTGATTCCAAATGAAAAATCAAAGGACCTCATCAACAGCAAGTTGAAAGAAGTGAGCGGCTAAGTCAAAGTTGTATTTAGCTTCAGTCTCTTCAGGAGTCAAAAACGCAAGCGTAGTGTATGCATTACCAAGACACCAAATCGCAGGATGTTTCTTTGGCTCAATCAACAACGCCTCTTCAAGCTTAGTGATTGCCTCTACACACACATACCAAAAAATGTTATAACCGATCCATACATCACATATTTTCCAAATCTTAAAAAAAAAAACATTTAAGAAATTGTTTGAAAATACCATAAGTTGGGCTAACACTTTTCAAAAATACTTCCAATCAAAAATATGTCAAGGTTTAGGATTTAGTGATTATTGTTTAGTGTTTATAAACTTTTATAAATGATGATTAAACATTTATAAATGATTTAGAAGAGTTAATTTAGTATTTTATTACTATTTTTCGTAACAAATTTAAGATATTTTTGAAAATGGTTATTTTTTAAAGGTAAAATTTGAAAAGTGGTAAATTTAGAAATTCCCCCTATTCATGAGAGCATCATAAACTAATTGATATCAATGTCGGATCCTACGGTGTGAAGAATCATGAGATCAACAATTTGAACTTAAGTAAATGAATCCACAAAGTCAACACCAAATCTAATCCGATTCAAGCACAAAGAGCCAAAATTTAATAATCCCAAGAAACAAAAGAACCTTGAACAATTTGCTTTGGATCATCGTTCTGAAACTGAGCTAGTTCCAGTAGTGCTCCTGCCCATCTAGTCAAGTTCTGTAATTGAACAAAAAAAAAAGAAACTAGATTAAATACTCAGCCTTTTGCAAAAAAAGCACAATGCAAAATGAAGATAAAGAAATGATGAAGATACAAGAAAACTAACATCGGCATCTAGAGGGTTTTTCAAGTAGGTGGCCTCGGATGCTTTGCGAATTTGTTCGAACATGATTATCGTATCGAACTCAGCATCGTTATTATCCATGTGGCTTCTCAGAGCTTTTGTAGAACACTTCTCCAGTACGGAATGGCTCTACTACTCTCTCCTCACTGTGTTTACGGAGAAAAGAGAGAGAGAGAAGTTAGAAAGCAGTTTCCTTTTAAATGGGCTAATAATGGGCTTTTAGATTGATTGTGTTTGCTTTGTAAAGTACATCGTCTCAACTGCTTGCCGTTTTAACTATGTGTTATGACACTGCTAGCTGGTTTTCAGCTGATGACAAAGAAAACAGCGATAATAAGAGAAAAGTAATACCATCTTACAGATATATAAATAGCTTCGTGTTTTTAGTCCCACACCATGCCAATTGGCAAGATAGTTATCAGATTTTATTCTAAAAAATAATGATATAATTTTAAGGAATAGGAACAAAAATATATTATGTGATGAATGTTAGTCCAACGACTATGGTGAGCTTGCAAGTAACGTGACTAATCTCACCTGTCACATGTAGAATCACAGAGAGAAAATCATAAATTAATTAGTAGTAAATATTTAAAGAAAAGGGGTTTGCAAAAGGTAGAGCATCACATGAATCAAGATTACGATGTTCCCGTTTGCTGACAAAGAAAGATGTTTCCGTGTATTCAAGACATTTTAGATATAGAAAATGATTCATGTGTCTTAGTTGTTTAGTATATTACCTATTGTAATGTACAAGATTCGTATTCAAATTTATAGTGGTCTAATGATTCAATTCTCTGTTTTAAGTAGAAGTTAAGAAGGAATAAGTTCTATCTACAGTGTTTATATGCTAACCTAGACATTTCATTTTGACCAAAAACAAAAAAAAATCTACATTTCATTATTTTTCTTGATTTTGTTATGAATTTGTCTAGTTATAAAGAATAAAAAAAACTTTGTTGGTGAAAATGTGATGGTAGATACTAATATAGTAATAATGATTTTCACATGTGATCCATGATTTTTCAGCAATATAAAAAAATGGTATAGAAAAGAATACATACATATAAATAATAAAATATTTTGTTATAGATATTTTATAATAAGGTCGAAAACAGCATCGAACGGTGGAGAAGGAGTCGGCAGCTTTTGGCGGAATCGTGGATCCAAATAAATTCAAACTTGCGAGCTACTAAAGCGACGACGCGTGGCTAATAAGGTAGTGGCAAAACTTCGTAATTAGTTGAGACAAGTAAGGGCTATTTGGGAATAAGTAAGTAATAAATCAACAGATCCACCACTCAGGAGGAGAGAGAGAGACTCAGCGACCATTTCTTCTTCTTCCACCATTTTCTCTGACGTCTTTCTCTTCTCTGTTGTCTCCAGCGGATTTTGTGGAAGCGAAGAGCTACAGGGTTTGTAACTCTATGCCTTCTGTATAAACCCTAAACCTAGTTTTGCTGTTTCTCTGTTAGTTTTAGGGGAAAGTGAATGTTAATTAGATGATTAGGGTTTAGGGGTTACTTGAAAGGTTCTTCCTTTTTGTTAATTTTGTGCAATAATGTAACAAAGTTTCTATCTTTGTGTTAAATTAGATAATTAGGTTTAGGGATTACATGAAATGTTCTTCCTTTTTTTTGTTAATTGTGTACAATCAGGTAACAAATTTTCTATCTTTGTGTTGATTAGATGATTAGGGTTTAGGGATTACCTGAAAGGTTCTTCCTTTTGTGTTAACTGCGTGCACTAAGGTAACAAAGTTTCTATCTTTGTGTTAATTAGATGATTAGGGTTTAGGGATTACCTGAAAGGTTCTTCCTTTTTTGTTAATTGTGTGCACTAAGGTAACAATGTTTCTATCTTTGTGTTAATTATATGATTAGGGTTTAGAGATTACTTGAAAGGTTCTTCCTTTTTTGTTAATTTTGTGCATTAAGGTAACAAAGTTTCTATCTTTGTGTTGTTTCTCTGCTAGGGTTTTTGAGCTATGGACAGCTTCTGGCAATTGGGTGATGAGCTACGAGGTCAGACTCAGTCAAGAGCATCAGAGGATCACAAATGGTCCACTGTTGCAACCAAGCTCGCTGAGCAGACTAGGATGAAAGGTGAAAGGTTTAACAACCTTGATCTCTCCAAAGCTGGTGGTTACTCTGAGTTCAGACCAACCGAAAAGTTTAGTTTCCAGGACAACAATAACTTCAACATGTTGAACTTGGGCGGCAAAGCTTTGATGCAGAACAATGTTTACAGCAACATGAATGACTTCAAAAGTGGAGGCAACATGAAAGTTAATAAGTATAATGGCAATGTTGTTGCTAACAAGGATCTGAGCAACAACAACAAACACAATAGCAATGATAATGCTGTTGACAAGAGGTTTAAGACTCTGCCTGCTTCCGAGACGCTACCAAGGAATGAAGTTCTTGGCGGGTACATCTTTGTTTGCAACAACGATACCATGGAAGAGGATTTAAAACGTCACCTGTTTGGTAATTTTTCAAACATACATGTTTCTTTTTGCAATATGGTTTCAGCTTTCTCAGTGCTTTTGATTTGAAAATCTTGTGCGTGGTTTGTTTGCAGGTTTACCTCCAAGATACAGGGACTCTGTCAGGGCAATAACACCTGGATTGCCTCTGTTTCTTTACAATTACACCACTCACCAGCTCCATGGTATCTTTGAGGTTTGTTCTCTTCTGATATCTCTTTATCATAACAATGTCTTTTGAAGCTACCATTTAGTGAAATATGGTTTTCCTTTGGTTTAGGCAACGACTTTTGGAGGTACTAATATTGATGCCACTGCTTGGGAAGACAAAAAGTGCAAAGGAGAGTCAAGGTTTCCGGCTCAGGTGAAACTTATGATCATACTTGTTGCATTGCAACATTTGCTCTTCATTTTGATACTTAGTACCAACTCGACCTCTTTGTCTCAAATCTTATCAGGTAAGGATCAGAGTGAGGAAGATATGCAAAGCCTTGGAAGAGGATTCCTTCAGGCCTGTTCTTCACCACTATGATGGTCCGAAATTCCGCCTTGAGCTCTCTGTTCCCGAGGTGTGTATTTATATCCATGGGATCAAGAGTTTTAATTTTAGTAGAAACCTTTGCATGTAAATGTAGAGAGATCTGTAAACTGATTAAATGATGTTTTGTTTGCAGACATTGGATCTGCTAGATCTTTGTGAACAAGCTGGTTCTCCATAAAGCCGATCAACCTTGCAATACCACGTTGCTAAGTAACGGGAGGCGTTCTGTCTGAAACCTATCTATATCTCTATATTAATGCAAAATACCATAATAGCGTAAGCTTGTGGAATTTAGTTAAGAGTCAATAGTTCAAATGTATGGTTCACTAGAAGGGAGGAGTGTGTGCAGTCTTGAGGCAAGGAAAAAGGGTGAAGAGGCTCTGCTGAATAAGCGCACGCACTCTGAGTTCTTGTTGTGTCTAATGTGTGAGTTTGTCTGTTTGAAACGAAAGGTTTGTGTGTAAAAGAATATATATAGAGAGAGAGAAGAGTAAACAACAGAGCCAAAACAATGGTCTGAGTTTCTGTTTGTGTTTGCTTGTGTAAGGGAGAACCTAAATGGATAGTTTAACTTTTAAGCATCCGTGTCATTTGATTGTTTAAACTTTAAACAAATGTTTTCATTGAAAGAAGTTGAAATTTGAAAAGCTAATTATACCGCAGCAAAGATGATAAATTTGTAAAAATGTATAATTTCTCTCTATGGTTAGTGTTGGCTACAACACCATGGAGAGAAGACAGCGAAATCATAAAGGGGCAGCTGAGCAAATGAAGTTTTGTTGTATCCGTTCTAATGAAATTAACTGGTGGATGTCCTGTCCATCAATGGCTGATCAGATGAATGTGGATTCGTTTTTAGAACAAGCTTCTTCAAGCCCCTTGTTCTGGTACATATGGTGAGAGCTAAAACTATACATAAGTAGCGGTGAAAATTTTGATTGTTATTACTTCTGGTCACTTCTTGTTTGTTTGCATACTTGTCACGTTTACAGAAATGCTCAGACGAGTTAATTATCCCATCTATTGCCAGTTCTTCGTGTGCACGTGCGATCAATGAATGGTCCAGGATTCGCGAGTACAGGAGGATCCTGAAACGGGTAAATCGAATAAGTACGGTGCAGAATGTTTAGTGGCGTTTTAAAGAAAGTAACAAGAAAAAAGTTACAAAGAAATGTTTGAATATTTAAAGAACACTTCTGACTTCTTAGGTCTAAACAGGTACTGTAAAAACTCTTGTATTTCTACAACGGCGTTGTTTGTATATCTTATAATTGTGATAGATAACGCAAATGTAAATTCCAGAAAACAAAAGGATCAGTGATAATATGTGATAAGATTGTATAACTCACCAGTCTTAAAGGCTTAAACTACCAAACTGATTGTTCCAGTTTTCGTAGATTCCAAGCTCGTTCTGAGAAACCGAAGGCCTTACTTCTTGCAATGCGTCTTTAAAGTCCTGCATCATGACCAAATTGATGATAAAGAGACGGAACAAAAATTTCTTCAAGCTACATGTGTTCACATTTTTAACATAACATTCACTTAAATTTAACCCAAAAAGTGATAATCAACATCAAGATCTTCACTTTGTGTTTACCTGAAGAGTCACAAGTCGCATGTCATCTTTTGTCAGGTTTGTTATTTCTATGCCTCGTCTGAGAGCTTCCCTTAACGGACCCATCGTTGCATCTTTCACTAGGTTCTTCATGTCTGATCCTGAGTACCCTGCAGTTAAAACATTCCAAAAGAATGTAATAGCTTGGTTATGCTGAAACTGTGCATTTGGGTTTTTTTGGGTTGTGGTCTTGGGACTTTTAAGATCACAATTCCATAAATTGCATACAATTCTACAGTGTTTCTGAGTTCTTATGATATATTTACCTTCAGTCAGCTTGCAAATGATGTTCATTTCATCTTCGGACAATGTGAACAACCCATCTTTCTGTAGGAGATTCTGTATAATCCATGCTCTTGCTTCTTCAATAACGAAAAACAAGACCATATAAGAGCACTTATTCGAACAAAACCACAGAATGACATGAAGTGTGTTTATCATTCTCACCAGATGAAGGAAGAGGAATGTAGAGTCTCTTGGTAAGCCGTCTTCTAGCTGCTTCATCGAGCTCTTGGGGTCTATTCGTTGCTCCTGATCAAACAAAAACATTTAACATAAATACTCCCACAAACCCCCCCCCCCCCCCAAAATC